AAACTTTCATCTCGTTTTGTGTCTAAGATAAGGATAAGAAGCAGTGTATGGTTTTTCTCTTACAAAATTATTTTTATTTTCTCTTTATACTTTAATGTGCCTTGTACAACTTTGGTGCAGTTCTTTATTTTCAAGTATATTAAAGCATGTGTATTATTGTTTGCTATGTTTAAGGTGTATTACCTGTTTAGTTTTTATTTAAAATGATTACTACCTGGCAGGTCTCTTTGAAATATTCTAAGTTACCTTCTCTCTGACAGATGACTTAGGGGTTGTAGTGTAAGGAGTGGACATGGGCTTTGGTTTTGGTCCTAAGTTCTAATCCCACATTTTATTCTCTGTGTGACTTTGGAGAAATCACATAATGTCTTCAATCTCCAGCTTCCTCTTCTATAAATTTGGACTGCGTTGTCATCTCTTAGACTAGTTATAAAGATGAGATGAAATTAGGTACAGTAAATGAACTAACACATAATAGTGTTTGCCGGGTATTAGTATGCTTCCCTTCCCCTCTCACTGGGCCTTGCTTTCCTTTTTGAGTTGGAGGATATTGATTAGGGAGATGCTGAAAGAAGAGGACAGAAATTAATAATAAAATACTGCACTGAGCTCTTCATGTTGTTAAATAGAGAATTACTTTTTTACTCCCACCGTAATTCAGCTTGGAATGCTTTAGATACTTTTGAGTCCTCCTTATGTATTCCTTTGCTGGTTGGGACACATTTAGGTCAATCACAACTAAGTCAGGTACTTAAATTGTCCCCAGTAGCAAATGGTGATTAATGGAAGCAGATTTTCTGATATGTCTTAAAATGCATGATCGCCACTTGTTACAGTTGACTGATTTCTAAGCATAACTAGTTTGCAGATCTGTTTGCAATGTGAAGAGAGTAAGTAGACCAGGTAGCATTTCCTAAAGAATAAAAAAAAGAGAGATCAGTTAATAATGTTATGTTTGCAGTTTCTTTTGGTCTCTGAGTGGGATAGAATAGGCAATCTGTTGTAGTGGTATGATTTGAGAAGAAGGAATTCTGAACCAGGTAGAGTTTTTCTTTTTTGGTCTTTTCAGGCCCATAGTAGTTTATTTTAAAATTCTTTTGAGTTCAGAAAAGAAAATATGGTGGCTGATTAACATTTAAAAAGGTGGTCAGGTTCACTGGAAATCTGATAAATGCAAAGAAAACAATAGTTACATGCGATTTTCTTTTTACGTTGGACTGTGAAAAAGTAAAAATAATTTCTAGGTTGACAGGGGTATGGAGGAACACACACTCTTTTACGTTGCTGGTAGGAATGTGAATTGCTGTAACATTGTGGTAAAGTAATATGTACATACATATTTTTGTGTATGTTCCTTACATCCGTTGTTTTTAAGTATATGTAAATCTACATTTGGCAGTAATATTTAAAAATGGGACTAAGTACTGGGAAGAGGAGACAGGAGATTTTGCAGTGCTGCAGTGCAAGAGAGTTACAAAGCTCAGTCAAGCAAGGTGAACTTGGGTGGAAAGAGAAGGGAGAACCTTTGTGAGGAAGACAGGTCAGGGTGTGTCGCTCTATGTATTGACTAGAGTGTTTGAAGGTATTTACTCAGCTTCAAGCAAAATGTCTTAAATTAAGATTATCCAAAGTCTTTTCTGCCTGGAGCATACAAGTTACCCTGTCTCTAGGCCCCAGTGAGACCTGATATATGGATACAGACAACTCCACCTCATAGAGCGAAAGGCATTAGAGCAAGCCTATTTGTATGCATGGCAGCCGCATCTAAATGAAACTATTTGCAAGCTTATCTTTTAAATTGTGAAGGAAGGAAAGTAAACAATTTTCTAGTGAGAAAGAGTAAAATGAGATTGATTTTCAGTGATCATCTTGTTTGGGAGCTTTTTATGGGCAATTACAAAATTGGTAATAAAATCTAGGTGGATTTTCTTAGTTCATTTTTAATCACTCCTTCCCCAGCACCCCCAAAGGTCATAACTAACTTCTCTTATTACTATAAGAGTTTTTTGTTTTTGTTTTTGTTTTTTGAGACGGAGTCTCTCTCTGTTGCCCCGGCTGGAGTGCAGTGGCGCAATCTTGGCTCACTGCAAGCTCCACCTCCCAGGTTCACGCCATTCTCCTGCCTCAGCCTCCCAAGTAGCTGGGACAACAGGTGCCTGCCACTACGCCCAGCTAATTTTTTTGTATTTTTAGTAGAGACAGGGTTTCACTGTGTTAGCCAGGACGGTCTCGATCTCCTGACCTCGTGATCCACCCGCCTCGGCCTCCCAAAGTGCTGGGATTACAGGCATGAGCCACTGCGCCCAGCCTCTTCTCATGCTAAGAGTTTTTAGGAACACATTTTACTAGTGAACCGAGAGTCTAATTGGCCTGTCTGAGACCTTCTGAGGAGAGAGTGGTAGAAGGAATGGAACCTAGGACTGTCTGGATCCAAAACTTGTACCCCTTGGCCTTCCCTTGAAGCTACTTTTTAAGGCTCTGCAGTAGAGAGGAAAGTTCATTTTTGTCTTTTCGTCATTTCTCTGAGACTAAGCCTAGAAACTCATAAATGCCATTGTGGATACTTCATTACTGAGCTCCAGTGCTCCTGGCTATGTCATTAGTTTATTTAGTATAATTCAGGAAAATTTTCATATACTTAGTTTAAATATGGTGTTTCTGAAAACAAGGTGTGTAATAGTTACAAAAAACTTTTAACAGTTGTTAAAACCAAAGATTTGGGTCTTTTTACTCTAGGGCTAGAATAATGTTGTTGATCACATATGCCCTTCTTATTTTTGTTTTATATTATATTGTGCCAGAAAGTTTCGTACTATAATTTTATGAAGGTTATATGATCTCATTAATTATTACTTTTCCTTTTAGGTACTTTTGGGCGTATTTTCCATGGGATTTTAATAGATGAAAAAGATCCAAGTAAAGAAAAACAAGCATTTGTCAAAACAGTTAAAGGTAGGATCTTTTTTCCATAGTATTTCCGTGATGCTCTTCTGTCTCAGGTGGCTCATGCCAGCAAAATTCTATCTCAGTTCCCCAGTGTGTGCCATACCTTTTAAATCAATCCATGTTAATTTAGCTTAAAACAAAAATTATCTTATAGGAGCCTAATTGTTTTGGAAATTTGGGTGGTTCTCATTAGGTATAGAAAAACAGAAGTCTGCTAAATTAAGACATGAGACATTTGTTAGATATTACTCAGTTAATTGCAAGTCAAACTGCATCCACTTGATTTCATTGTTACTATATCTAATGTTGGTATACTTTTGCAAGTATAGCCATAGTTGGAATTGCTGGCCTAAGGGTGTGTACATTTAAAAATTTTAATAGAGCCCAGGTGCAGTGCTTACACCTGTAATCCCAGCTACTCAGAAGGCTGAGGCGTGAGAATTGCTCAAACCCGGTAGGCGGAGGATGCAGTGAGCCGAGATCATGCCACTGCACTCCAGCCTGGGCGACAGAGTGAGACTCTGTCTCAAAAAAAAAAAAAAAATTAATAGATATTGTTAGATTGTCCTCTAAAAGATAGCACTGGTTTATATTGTCATGAATGGAATACCTGTTTTCACTAAATATTATTCTTTTGGGCCATCATTTGAAATGTGATGCCTAATTTTTAATTTATTGATGTATATAAGTTATTTAATTAAAGATTCCCTATCGAGATACTACAGTGTTACTTATGCAGGCATATGGCTTATTTCCTATTACTGGTAGATTAGCAAGACTTTAAAAAATATTAGAATTGTAATTACTTACAACAGATACTTGTAAAAGCTTAAATAATTCTGAATTAAGAGCTGCATGCAGTGGCTCACAATTGTAATCCCAATGCTTTGGGAGGCTAAGGCAGGAGGACTGCTTGAGCCCATAGGTTCAAGATCAGCCTGGGCAATATAGCAAGACCCCTGTCTCTACAAACAAAAAAAAAAAATGAGCTCGGTGTGGTAGCATATGCCTGTGTCTCAGCTACTCAGGAGGGTGAGGTAGGAGGATTGCTTGAGCCCAGGAATTCAAGGTTGCAGTGACCCCTGATCATGCCACTGTACTCCAGCCTAGGTGACAGAGCAAGATCCTGTTTTAATTTTAAAAAATGATAATGGTAATTCTGAAGTAAGTCTTATTTGCTTATTTAGAGAGAAAGAAAAATGTGATAATTTATAGGGTACTTAATGTCTGTCAGGTCTGATGTAAATTGAGAAGGCATAGTAATAATTTCTAAAAACAAATTTGGCACTTTGCCTTCAGAAACTGAAGGGAAGACTAAATTCAGTTTTATGAGTAAAAAGCGATAAAATTTTACAGTTTATGAAGTTAATTTATAAGAATTGTTTCTAAATTTACTTAAAGGAATACATGGGAAGTATGAAGGGTTTATGTTTATTGTTTGTAAAAAGTTGGCTTGTGCCAATCTAACAAAAAATCTTTGGAATTGCTTTTAATTGAACAAAGTTGTTTGTTTAAGGCTGCTGCAAATACGTCCATACACACACACCTCTTTGATCTTGTCTAAATAAATGGTTTAACTTACTGTATCATTCAATATTTATTTTATTCATTCACCCCTTCCCAGCACCAAAAACACTTTTAAAGGGGAATATTTACGTTAGGTCCATCCCTTCTTGTCCTTTGACTGAGACCAGTAGGTTTTCTAACTGGGAGAGTTTACATATTACTTTTTGTAAATGTACAATTTGAGCCATAAGGTTATTAAACAACAGCCTTTTGTTACTCTTTTCTCATTTTTTTTTCCTAAGGAGTCTCCTTAATTCAAATATTTCTTCTGGGGTTTGTAAGTATTCTATAGACTGTGGAACTGAGCTATTATTGACTTGTTCTGAATTAAGGCAGGAGGTTTTTATACAAAGTTGGGTTGATTTAGGATTGGAAGGGGAGATAAAAGGAAATAATAGTGATAAGAAAACACAATGAGTATACTTGGACTGTTTCACGAGATAAGACTTCTCTTTCCGTATATGCTTGACCTGTAGTCACTGGTTGTTTCTATGCTTTACCTCTGTAATTATAATGTTCTTTGTGAGTTGTGCGGAAATAAGAGAAAGCACAGTGAGTCCTTATGGGGGACAGAGGGGAAGTGCGTTGACCAGGATACTTGCCTTGAATTTGTTAGAGAGAGAGCACCACATGACTGTCTCTGAGATTGATTATTTTGGAATTCTGTTTTTAGGTTTTGTTGTAGCCACATAGAGCTGACCAAAGTCTCACAAATCTGTATGCTTTGTTACATGTTGCACAATTAGAAGTGTAGCATAAAATACAAAAAAAAAAAAGTGTTTTAGAAAGCACTGACCTTTGCCTTTAGGCATAAGTAGAAAATTGGAGTTTGACTTTTAAAAATATTCATAATTTTATACAGAGACTTCATAGATACTCCAGTATAAATTTCTGGAGATTGAAATTAGCAGCCTGAGTCTTACACAGTAAATATTGTGAAATTGAATTCCATAAAATAAGCGAATCAGTTTGGTTTATTGGTATTAAATTCTTATTTTCTTTATTGTAGCTACTAAATTTTTATAGTTTTGTAAGTAAACAAGTGCTTGTTTTTAAAAATCATTTTGTGCATCCTTGTAACTTTTAGAATATATTTAATTAGTACCCTTTTCAAATGTATACATCTTGAAGATAGACCTTTCATTATGTAAAATTAAAAGACTATTGAGACTGGGAAAGGAATCCAAGAAAATGAGTTTTTCTTACTAAATGGATAAAAGTTATTTTATCTTCAATTGAGTTTTCTTAGGTCATCATTCAAGCGTCCTTTGCTTTAATAGAACATGCTTATCAAAATTAAAAACTTGAAAAAAGTAAGTACAAAATGACACATTCTGAAATTACCATTTGTTGTACTTAGATCTCCTTACCAGTTGAGGGAATAGTAAAGTCTTTTTAACTGGGCGGGGACCTCCAACTATTACTAGTTTTCAGTCTTGAAAAGATCCTACTAGCCCCCAGTAGTCCTGGCCATAATTTCATTAGAAATTATTTAGGTTATAGAAAGAGTAATAAAGGCACATTCTGCCATTTACTAAGAAATCCCACGTTTTAAGCAGTTTGTAGACACGTAGAGTTTATTCCGGCACACATTGGTATGAAGCACCTTTTCCAAAGAAGTATCGAATGTTTCAGATCCTTGGCTTTTTGTCCACCCATTTTACATTCCTACAATAGTCTTAACTAAGAGAAGCTGCTTGGAAAGGGAACACTTAGTAGCAAGTAATGGAAGTGAAGCAAGAGAAGTGAAGCAGGAATGAGATTCCAATGGGTAGATGTGGAAGTAAATGAAATTTGAGATTTCTCAGCTTTGACAGTTCCACATTTAAAGACCAAATGTGACAATCATAGTATCTGAATTCAGTGGGATGGGTTTTATTGTTGGTTCAGCATTTTCCTAGGTGGGTCTAGAATATGAATCTTGGCTTTGCCCGTCTTTCATATTTCTTTCTGCCTCTTATTGCATTGGTCCGAAGCTTTATAAATTATTATTTAATTAATTTATTTATAGCCAGGGTCTCACTTTGTCGCCCAGGCTGGAGTGCAGTGGCGCAATCATAGCTCAACCTCCTGGGCTCAAGCAGTCCCCCTACCTCAACCTCCTGGGCTCAAGCAATCCCCCTACCTCAGCCACCTGAGTAGCTGGGACTACAGGTGTGCGCCACCACACCCTGCTTACTTTTTTTTTGTAGAGATGGGGTTTCACCATGTTGCCAGCCTGAGCTTTACAAATTGTTATTGCTGTTTTTACTACTGATGTAAAAATTCATTGTGGGTTTCTTTGAAAGGGTTTTTAAGAATAAATAGTATTTTATACTATTAAGTTTGTTTTAACATTTAAAAACTATTTTTTAAAATTCAAACTCACTTCTTATTTGTTTATTATTATTATTTTGGGAGACAGGGTCTTGCTCTGTTGCCCAGGCTGGAGTGCAATGTGGTGCAATCGTGGCTCACTGCAACCTTGACCTCCTTGGCTCAAGCAATCCTCCAGCTTCAGCCCCCTCAGTGGGTGGGACTGCCAGTGTGTACCACCATGTCCAACTAATTAAAAAACTTTTTTTAATAGAGATGGGGGCTTGTTGTGTTCCAACTCAGGCTGGTCTTGAACTCCTGGCTTTAAGTGATCCCCCTGCTTCAGCCTCCCAAAGTGGTGGTATTACAGGTGTGAACCACTGCACCTGGCTGCATTTGCAATTTTATAATAAGAAATATTCTTTTCAAGTAGTGGAGAAATTCCTTTCTACTATTAAGGTTGTGGTCCCTATAAGATGAGGAATCCTTGTGGATTTGTACAAATATTTGAAGGCCTAAAAATTCCTTTGGAGATGTAGACTTAAAGATATTGGTAAATTGCATTATCATGTTTTTGTTTCAAAAACTTTGACCTAAAAGTTAATTTGTTCTGTTTTGCTACTTTGGACCAAAAACCGTAAGTTTAGAAGCTAAAAGTAAAATGGCATAATTCTAATTTTGGTTATCATATGAAAGTTAACTAATTTTTACTACTGTATTATTAGTTCTTTTTGTTTGTTTTTAACCACAGAGAAGTAAAAAGAAGAAAGCAACAGAATATGCCATAATCTCCAATCATAACTTTTGTAGTCATTTTATACCTGTAATGTTTGTTGGGTTAGAAAGTATAAACAGAATAGAAAACGTAAATTCTCCCATCTTGAAAAGTAGCCATCATACATAAACAATTCCTTAATATGTAAGAAATATTAGGATATGTAAACACAAGTTGTACCTTGTTTTTGAAATTTAATATACCTTAGAGATCTTCCTCTGTCAGTACGTACAGCCCTATCTCATTTTTTAAAAGTAGCCACATAGTATCCCATTGTGTCAGTTTAATTAGTTCTTTGTTAATGGGTACTTTGGTGGTTGAGTTTTTTGCCACTGAACAGTGCTCTTGTTACATTATACATAGATGAGCTTTTGTGACTATATCTGTTAACAGTGAGATTGACGATGCAAGGTATATCTGCATTTCAAAATTTTGTTACATATTGCTTTCTCTGTCTATCCAAGGTACTATTGATGAGCCTGTTTTCTCACACTCTTGCCGAAACTCTCAATAGTAGATAGTGGAATTTTTTGTGTTTCAATTTGACAGGGGAAATGGCATCTACTGGTTTAATTTTCACTTCTTTACTTAGGACTGAGGCTATGAGTCGTTTTGTATTGTGTGTCATTTGTTTTTTATTTTCTCAGTGAACTGTGTGTTTATATCCTCTGCCTCTTTTTCAAATTTTTTCCTTATTGATTTATATGAGCTATTTAAATAGGAAAAAAGGAAGTTAGCAATATATATGCCTTATGTGTTGCATATATTTTTCCAGTATGTTATTGCATTTTCTGCTTTGTTTATGGAAACTTAATTGATTTTAATATAAAAATTTCTGGGAAAATTGACTTGTTTAATGAGACTGCAGTAGAATTTTTATCTAGATCTATTTAGATTTACCTGTAACTTATAATGAAAACCTACCTACTTTATAGTCCAAGATAATTATTTACTAATAGCAGAAAATGTTAATGCCATATATGTAGTAGTATTATTCAAGACAATTTCTTTTCTTTATATATAGATCAAGCTTCTGAAATTCAGGTGACAATGATGCTCACTGAAAGTTGTAAGCTGCGAGGTCTTCATCACAGGTGAGAGGAGAAACCACCAGCATTTTGGTGTTGAGCGTGGCAACACTTGATGCTGCATCATTTTTATGTGCAGGACATTGTGATGACTTCTGAATTGAACGCTTTGTGGAATAGCTTAATTTTTTTTTTTTTCTGAATATAAAAGTGAAATGCACTCTCACTGTACAAAACTTAACAAACACAAAGTATAAACAAAACAAAGAATAGTATGTAAGCCCACATCTAGATAATCATAGCTAATCTAGCTAATCTTTCCAGAAATAATTTATACATTTTATGTCCATATTTCCCTTTACAAAATAGGATGATTGTTTACATATGTTAAAAAATATTTGTTATGAGATTTTGAACGTATAGGACCTCAAAGTCAAGTATAATAAACATGAATAAATTTTCCTTCTAGATGCAATGATAGTTAACATTTTGCCATATTTTCTGTGTTGTGTATGTTTATGAGATTTATATCTCTAGATATTAGTATCTATATATTCGTGTATATAAGTATTTTACCATAAATTAGACATCTGAGTACTTTTATTGCATATCCAGCATTTATTTTCAATAAAAAGAATATATTTTTCTTTATAATCATAATACCATTGTTGTCTTTGACAAAACTAACATGCTTCTTAATTTAACAAAACAATGTATCTGACTTTTGATGTTGGCAACTGTAAATCCATATAGCCATTTAAAGAAGCTACATAGTGGTCCACTGAATGGATGTACAGCATTTTATTTCACTAATTTCTGGTATACAATCATTATGCCATGGCATGATTTTAAAAAAATACTTACAGTTCTGTATGAAGACTTTTTCTTTTTGTTTTTTCTTCTTTTTGAGACGGAGTCTCGCTCTGTCACCCAGGCTAGAGTGCGGTGCTGCATCTCAGCTCACTGCAATCTCCACCTCCCTGGTTCACACCGTTCTCCTACCTCAGCCTCTTGAGTAGCTGGGACTACAGGCGCCCCCCACCAGGCCCGGCTAATTTTCTGTATTTTTAGTAGAGACGGGATTTCACCGTGTTAGCCAGGATGGTCTTGATCTCCTGACCTCGTGATCCACCCGCCTTGGCCTCCCAAAGTGCTGAGATTACAGGCGTGAGCCACTGCACCTGGCCATGAAGACCTTTTTTAAAAGCTTGATATTGGTGCTGTTCACAGAACTATAACAAAAACTTCTACCGTTTGAGCCAGAAACAGCTTTAATATAACATCATAATGTGTGACAGTATCAACATTAGAGCAAGTTTTTTTTAAAGCACTATGTAGAGTCAACATAATTTGTATGTCTGCTGAAAATTTGATCACATATGTTTAAAAATAGAACTGTGGTCATCCCTGTTGGAAGATGCTTATGGGCTTCTGAAAAAATACATTTTAGTTTCTGTATAATTTAGACAGTTCCTTGAGTTCTGCTGAAAAATAAGGTGACTACCCAGAGTCTTACTCTTGAATTTGGTTATATTTTGGTTCATATTCAAAAGAATTTGAGGACCTAAAAAGAATGTAGCCACAGTAAGATAAATAAAATGATAATGAAAATGAAACTGAGTTTTTTGGCATTGTGGTGGTAGAAAAGAAAACCAATAAGCCAGCAGTAAGGAGAACAAATATTTTTACTGTAACTGAACATAAAACATCTCCTAGCTTCTGGGCAACCAAGGGTGAAGGAAACGCTAAAAGTTGATAATCGCAGTAGCAGAAGGGAAGGAAACAGTTGGAATATTGTCCTTTTTGGCAGTGTTGAAAGTGCTTAATGGTCTATTACACTGACTCTAGGGAGAAGGGCCAAAGGTGTTTAATCCTAGTGTATACTGTTACCCTATTACTTAGGTACCTAGCCAATGTTTTTACCCCAGTGAAAGGTTTACATCACCTCAGCACAGACATGAGTAGCAGGGATAAGTGTAAATAAAGCCAGAATTTTCCCAAGAAACAGTTTTATATTCACTGTAGCCCTAAAGATGCCTTGGCTGAAAAATGCTCAGTGCAAGCATTTGCCGTGTTGTGTCTCATGCAGTTTTAGATTGTAAGGTTTTGCAGCATCCCACCAGGATGAATTACTAGTCTCAGGAGGTCCTTAGGGAATGACATGACATACTAAATTGGGGTTATTTGATACTGGGCATTCAGTCCTTGAGAAAAGTCTTGTAAAGGTAGGTTATAGCTTGATTATGCTTAATAGTTCTTCCTTCTATGAGGTGATAGCAGGACTCCTAGTTACAGTGAATAAAACACATTGTCAATATGTAGAAAGTATATTATTCTTTCCATTTGCTGTAGCAGTTCATTTCATTTTTAAGGTGACCAGGGCCTATCACACATTTGGTTTTGATCCCTGATATGTATAGACTATTCATAGCTATACTTATGTATTTGTTTGTTCATTCTTTTATTCTAATTCATTCAGTACCCATTTTGCA